TCTTCCTAGAAGAAGCGGGATGAAAAAGAGAAAAAGTAGTAACGACGAAAGTAGTAGTTAAGTTTACTTTTGAGTTATAGTGAAATGGTCTGTTATTGTTAGACGTAAGTGTTTAGCGGTAGAAACAAGTTTTCTTACCGAAGGATTAACACGAGCATGTAGTTTTGAAACTACAATATTAGTTGGTTAAACATACAGAGGATTTCCTTCTTAGGAGATCTCAGTTCGCTGTTAGCGTCTAAGGTTTCTACGGCATCAGTATAGATCACCATCTTAAGTATTACAAATTCGTAGAATCACAGTAAATAATAACTCAACTTAGCTAACATAAGTTAATACAGATACAGTTCTGCAATTCTTTTCAGTGTTATTATGAATTGGAATTGGATAGAAATATAAACATCACTTTAGTTTTCTAAAATTTATATTATTTTTCTTAATAAAAATTATGCTATAAATATTTATCGACTATGAAAACGCTTTCAATTTTATTAATCAACTGTGCATATGGAAAACCTTCAAAAGTCGCATTTAGTTTTTGATTAACTCACCACCAACTACTAGATCTCTAAGTTTTACCGCTGTTATTTTTCTTACAGGTTAAATTGACCTGATTATTTCGCTTGTTTAATTTTAGCTCATAAGGTAAGGAACCAATACCTGTGTTATGGTTGTACCGACATGATGCGTCGAAAGGCACAAAGGCTTTCGGGACCAATCTGTGGGTCAACAAATAGGGAATCACCATACTTTTTATTTTTACTTCAGTGACTATGAAAGATTTTAGTAGTATTATGAAATGGTGCAAAATAATTTACTTATTGATTCTTAAACTCATTACATCGTTACATTATAATTTTGCAATTTTTACTTTTTATGAAAAACAAAAATTCACAAATTAGATATTTCGAAAATAAGAACATCCGTAAAACAAAGTACATAACTTCAGTTTGTGAGCGTTTACTTTATTGGGAAACCTTTTCTGTTCTATCTGCACGTATGTGACTGTGCGAATATATATGTAAAAAATGTTTCAGGCAATCTATGTTATACATTAATTGAAAGATAAAACTATTTGCATAATTGTTAGCTTTGCAAATAATTTTTGATATCTTAATCGTCAGTAATTCAATATTAATTAAATCGTATTTATTACCATAACAACATTTTAGCATTTACATTGCTTGAAATTGTGCAGAACTCTTCATATGCTTTAAAAATTGTTGCAAACATTTTAATTAATTTTTTTAATAATTTCTAAAGCATTTATTCTTTTTTCGAAAAAAAAATAAATGACTGTCGAAATTACAGATTTTGAGGAGCTGAGCCCACTTCTATGTATAAATTATATTTTTCGTTTTTATTTCGCTACTGAATTTAATGAGCAATTAACGCCCAAAACTGGATAATTTTTTTTAATAATTTAAAAAAAAAATAAAAACAGTTAATAAAATCTAAACACACCCACACCAAATACGTCAAATCGTCGACACTTTTTGTGTTTGCGATACCGCAATTTTAAAATTAAATATATTTTTTTTACTACATTTTGCAATTTATGAATTTTATGAATTATTTTCTTATTCACTTTTAATAAACAAAGCAATAATTTAAAGATTTTTTTAACGCATTTGAGAAATTAAAGTTCCAATAATTTTATTTGAAATAATTTGAGTTGCCCACAATTCGCGATTTAAAATAATTTTAATGAGAAACGAAATAATTTATTGCTTTTACTCTACGTACCGCGTGAACATAGCCGATTGCTGTTGTTGTTGTTGCTGCTGCTGCTGCTGTTGTTGTTGTTGTGACTGTTGCGTTTGCTGCTGACTTTGATTTGCAACATGTTGATGATGTGTGGTTTGTTGTTGCGTTGGTGAATGCTGTTGTTGCTGTTGTGTTTGCTGCGATTGTTGTGGATGCAAAGGCATTTGATGTTGCATCTGTTGATTTTGATGTGATCTTTGTTGTGTTTGTTGTTGATGCTGTTGTTGGTGTTGCTGTTGGTGTTGTTGCTGTTGCTGTTGCTGTTGTGTTAACATCGACGCATGTTGTTGATGTTGTTGCTGATGTTGTAAATGCTGCATTTGTTGTTGCAGTACGTGATGAGGATGCGCGTGGGCATGCGGATGTGGTGTATGCGGATGCGGATGTGGATGTGAATGCTGTAGTGTTTGTATATGGTGTGGATGCAAGGGATGATGATGTGTATGCACATGTGTTAATGTGTGCGTATGATGCACATCATTAATAGTGGTTGGCATCATTGTTGCTGGCGTCGCCAAACTAGACTTATCCAGCCGTTTATCGGAGTACATTTTCTATATGTTTATTTATTTTGAAGTTCTTTCGTAGAAAATACTGAAAAAAAAATTAAAAAACAATACATCAAAAATTAATACTTGTTGGGATTAAAAGTAAACAGAATAATTAAAATCGTAATATAAAGTATAACTAAATTAAAAATTAAATTTTTCTTAATATAAAACTAATTTCAGTTATAGTTGTATTGAAAACATTTAATGTGATTTTTCAATGATTTAAAAAAAATCATTTTTCAACAAAGAAATTGTTGCTTATACTTATTCTTATATAACAGAAAATAATATATTTAAATAAATCCTGAAGAAAACTTTTTAACTACTTAAAAGTACATTTAGTACTTTTAGTGCATTTAGTAGTTTTAGTACATTTAAATGAATAAAACAACTTAATTTAAATTTTAAAATTTTTTTATGTTAATAAGCCATCTCAGTCAGGGTGTAAAGTTTTCATCACTCATGTGTTATTTATACTAATTGCAGCACAATGGCCCTTTCAAAAAAGAAAACTAATTAATTAGGATATAATCAGTAATATTATATACCTTGTTATCGGATATAACTTAATAGCTTATTAGGTTAGCAATTGTATCAAACGATCTTTGCGGTTTATGTCAAAATGGCAAGGGTGACCACTATAAGGCTTGCAATTATTTGTAGTGCATATAGTCATCCATACCAAAAAGCCTAGATGCAATTATTATAAAACTCTTTTTATCGCCTTCCTGAAAGTTGATCTAAAAAAGCGATGAGAAATTGATATGCGAAATTTACAAGAGTCCTCAAAGAAAATAATATGATTCAAGTGATGTAGGTGATTATTGAATAAGGAATGCAAGTAATTTCATAATCCTTTTTTGGCAGAATGACCATGCTGTAGTGAAAAAGATGTTTAAAACAGCAGTTCGAGGAAGAAGACGTAGAGGTACACCGTGTATCTAGTAGAGTAAACTAGTTGGGGGAGTATTAACCGCTCTTGCTGTGCGAAGCAGAAGAAAGCGCACATGCAGTAGAGGTACTTAAAGAGGAGTGCTAAGCCAAGCCGAAATTCAATAAGCAGTTATGATCAAATAAGTAAATATTTCCTATGTCATGGTCTACGTAACATCATCATTGTTTCTAATCTTTATTTTTATTTCATATTATTTCATATTTTATGTCATTTCTTGATTTCTAAGTCAGCAACATTTAGTTCCCAGTAATACATTCGCTCAATAGAATAACCTTTCGTCTCTTTGAAATATAGAAAACCAATATTCAATACAAATAATTAATTTTCATGAATAAAAATTATTTAGTTCTGTCATTACTATGACGTTTTTATTCAAATTCTTTACAAAATATATAATTTTGCTTTTTAATAAAAAAAATTTATTTCTTAACCTTAACCAGTAGAAATTAATTCACATAAAATCACCTGCAATATTTACATATTTTTTAATATTATTCCCAGTTTCATTTGTCTACAAAATTATTCTCAAATAAAAATAAATTAAATACATAAATATTAAATAAGATAATGAAAATAATTTTAAGCTTAATGCCATAACTAAATAATAGCAATAATCTTTAAATGACCACAAAATTCTAACATTAGCTCTTGGATTTGGCATGGCTGCACTTAACAATATTGGCGTCACAGTTCAAATCGCAACGAATTAAGTAAATACAAACATTTGAACATTGAACATACATAATTGTTTGCTAAATTGTCCATTTAAAAAGATTGTATAGTCTTTGAGTCTTTGGTCATATTATAAAAATAACAAGAGACAAACATTGAAAAGTTTTCACAAGCAACAAAAGACTTAAGCAACGAACTTGTTGCAAAAATTATACATTCTCGTACATTCATATAAAATTTTTAATCATTATATCTCCATAATTACCAATGTAATTATTATTATAATTATTTTATTATGCAACTTTAAGACAAACTTAAAAGTTATATTGCATACTTAAATTTTAAGTAAAATTAATGAATTGCTTCAGTGTATATATTGCGGAAGGTCGGAATACAAATAGGTGTCATTTAATATCGTGACTAAGCACATTGCTAATGAGACAAGTGGGAGTGCCAATTAAAACTCTTATAAGTCAGAGAACTCAAAAATTAATATTTTTAATAAAATATGTTACAGTAAACTGAATATTATTCATATTCCTATTTGTAATAAATGTTTGTCATAAAATAATGTAAAATTATTAACAACAAATTTGTTTAACATCTAAGTGCGGTTTCGCATAACATATAGTATTTCGTTAAATATTAATAAATCATAGTACTACATATCACAAACAACAATTCTACTATAGTATATTAACATTCATAAAAAAATATTAAATTATTATATTTAAAATAATAAACTATCACAGAACATTTATAATTATCTAAGACGAGAAATATAGTCATCTCTCTGAAATATCGAATCTAATAACCGCATGTAATAATGAGCTATCATAAAAACTCTTACCCCTATCTCAGAAAAGAAAAATAGTCAAATACCAATGAGTTACTATAAATAACGCCTATTCCATACAGATAAAATTCAAATGATTCCTAACATAATATATATAAAATATATATAAATCAATTAAAATTTGGCATAATTAAAAAAAATATTAGTAATTAAGAAAAAAGTATCTTCAACTACATTAAAATATTTCTCATATGTTTGTAATGTTTATTTTTTTGAAGTAATGGTCTTCTTAATATTAACTTTTCGTAATCTTATTTTTAATTATTTATAGTTTTAAACTTTTATTCTGCTTTTATAATTTTGTTCACATTTTAACTTCTACTCTGCCGATAATAGGCCTTCTTTTATTATAAAAATTTGGTAAAATTTGGTAAAATTTTTATACCCTGAAATCATATTGATTCAGAAGTTTTGTGGATATAAGAATAAGTATATATGTAAAATTGTATATATACTTAAGACAACAATAGTCTAAATAATAACTTTTAGATACAATTCTTTTCATAATATTCTATTCTATATGTTATTCAATTAATCCCAAACAAGAAGACTTTTCCCAAAGTTTTTTTTCTGAAGTTATTTTCCTTAATTTTTATTTTTTATATATTGTTGCTATGAGTTGTATTATTTTTTGACTTTTTGACTTTTTAGTGGTGTAAGCTGATATTTTGAATTTTTATATTAAAATGGAAATACAATTTTTAAAATAATTTAACACTGATTGCTTGTCTGAATGGAGTGAAAGAGCTTACTGCATAATTAATATGAATTCAATTCAGAAGGCTTACACATTTACGATATACCAATTTTAATGTACATATGACTTATGCTCTGTGTAGGCTGCATCCCATGTAGCTCTTTATAGCACATATTCTCAGAGAAAAATATATTTTTTGAATGTATTTTTTTGGGAGTGCGCACATTTTTCCAGCTCCTGGGATATGCAACTTGTATTTAAGTTGATTGTTTTTTTTCTGACTATAGTATAAAAAAAGTATTAATTAAATGAACATGACCTTGATTCTGTTTTGTGAGAATTATCAGGAAAAATATTTCAGAGTTATTAATGACACACTGGAACTATTTTGCTTAATTAAAAAATACCCATCGGTTTAACTGCAACTTATCGCACAAGAACTACGTTCTGGAGGAAAAAAAATATGCTTTAGTATATAATTTTAAGAAGTTTAGAAACTGCCCAATCCTGAAATAGATTTTGCTGGAGAACTTTTTAATAGAGCTTTTATAAAATATAATGTTTTGTTGTTATAGTATATCTTCTTTGTATCGTCTTAGTTTTAAAATTACGCTTACGGTTGACAATGCTTCTCAATACTTCTAAAGAGATTGGTTTGTTGTTGTTGTATGTTTTAAATACAGCATAAAGTTTATTTATGGTCTTGGTTCAAATTTCAATTTCATAAAAATTATTAAAAATATTCTCAGTTACGCTCCCGACTGATATACTATATGTGAGAGAAAGCTATTTTGTGAAATAAAAAATTTTCGCAAAACTTTTTATATACACTGAAGAAGCATTGGATTTAGTTATCTCTGGTATAAGATAGTTATTTTTGTAAATCCGTCGGTAGTTTCATCTATTTGAAATTTTTAATAATTTTTTATTTATTTAATTTTATAGTAGTTATTTTAATAATAATAAAACAAAGCATTAATAATTGTAATAAAAGCATTGAATGGTTTCCAATAAAAAGGCTTAACTGTAAACAAGTTATCAATAAATGTAATCTAAAGCCAATACACAATTAAAAAATGATGAATAATGAAAAGTCAAAATTCAAAATTCAACAAGTGAACATACCGATAAATTCATAAATAAAAAATTAAACAAAAAAATATTAAATAGAAAATCAAACAGAAAATCATACATAAATTTTACAAAAACCATACAAAAATTATACAAAAAGCTGAAAAATTCTCATAGTCAAACAAAACACCTTAAAATAGTTCAGAAAAGAAAACAGAAATAAAAATAAAAATAAAAATGCCATATTTCGTACACATCGACCACATACCGACTTGTATCTTGTATCTGAAAATATAATTGTAACAATTCGATGGACAGTGGATTGTATGCTAGATAGATACGGATGTGCGAGTACTTGTGCTCAAGCAATGCTAGACAGACAATATTGACCAATCAAACAAGGCATATTTGAAAAGTCAATAATTCATGGCAGAAGATCAATTTCATTTCAATTGAAAGTGAGCACAATCAGAACAAAATGATTGATGATGTACAAGCTAAAAACTCGTACTTTCCAAACAAAACTTTTTCTCCTCCGATCGAAGGTGAAAATATCTTTAGCTAAGCGAAATAAATGCATTGTTGTTGCTGAAGTGTTAAAAGCAAAATAACTCATTTTATCAGATTTTTCTATTTTTCGATATTTACGTGCATAACCCGTACGTACTCTAAATAATTAGGTAAACTCTGTCATATATAAACCAATTCCAAGTTTATAAAATTTCATTTTGCATAGAATTCTTAATTATTTTGTAGTTTGTTACTTTAATCAAAGGCTGAAATCT